GATAAATGCAAAATTGAGTAGAAATAAGTTATATGAGCCAGCAAATGCTCTTAGCAGGACCACAAAATGGACGAAGCAAGTAATCTCAAGCAAGTCTTGGGTTTCCATAGTGCCAGCACTGCCAGCAGGAGACATGGAGAAGGGAAATGGGAACCCTTCCTTCAATCTGCTATGGAAATTGAATTTCCTTCTCAAAGGTTTTAACAGTAAAGATGCACAGCAAAACCCTTTTCTGGGAAAGTCCTCCTGCACCACACAGATGTACCCAGAAACTCCCTGAGTTATCTCCACCAGGATTTCCAGCCCAAGGTCTTCAGGGAAGAAGGTTAGTGTGCAGCAAGGAAGGACATTACAAGACTCTGGATTGATGGTGACAGGAAAAATCAGCTCCCAAGGCTGTGGGGATAACACCAAGGCTATGAGACCCTGTAAGGGGGCTGAAATCAGAGGACAACAATCAAACAGTGCCTTGAACCCAACAGAAATTCAATTCTGGAAATTGGAAAGGAGAAGATGAGCCCAGTTTACCAAGTAAAGACTAATGGAACTGTTCAGACAAAAATATTATACACTGGACTCAAACAGATGATTTTTGTTTTCTTAAGGGAAGTCTATATACAGTTAGAAAAACTTTAGGTCTTTTGCAGTTCTGGACTGAATCTCTGTGGTATTTTGGAGATTGGAGCAGCAGAAAACCAGCCTGTCCACTGTTAACTCCAGCTGGGGCACTGGCAGAGTAAATTGTCACCCAGTCCCCAAAAGGTGCCATCACAGATTGCTGATTTACCGAATACCTGCACAAAGGAGCTCTGCAGCATCAAAAGAGAAGGTGTGGGAAGCCTCTGCAAGGAAAACTCATAACACATCCAGGTCTTTTTCTATCACACTTCCAGCTGAGGTACCAACATTATGGAGATTTTCAGCCCAGTGATCAGTTAAAGGGCTACACCACAAAGAGGTGGGAGCACGGGAATGTTTGTGGTTTGCATTCTGGATTTTAAGCTGTGTGACGTGTACCCGTGAGAGTACCCAGAAGAGTGGGCAGTACTGACCACTGAATTGGAAACACATGGCTGCAGTGGAAACACAGAGTGTGAGTACCTCTTGTGTGACAGTTTCACTTGACATTCTGCAAGCCCCTTTGGTGCTGCAAAACTTTGCAAAGAAAAAGGGGGGCAGCAAGTTGCTCATAAACCACAGCTTCACTTCACACCGGAAGGACCGTGTGCTGGAGTCTCAACATTTTATTTTTTACTCTGCTTGAAGGAAAAAAAAAAAAATAAGGCTCATGATTTGCGACTAAATTTTGAAATCTTCATTAGAATTTTCCATTCCTCCTTGTGAAAGAGGAATGGAAAGTTTCAATGCAATCCTTCAAAGGTTTACAACAGGAAGAGTCAGCAGTGCTGCGGCAAACACGGTCCGGTGTCACCTCCTGAGTTACCATCACTGATCACTTGCAGGAATCAAACAGCACATGCAGCATCATTGCTTGGCAATTGGACATCCTTGTGGAGCACTATGAGGAGACACCGTGGGCAGCAGAACAATGGACCTGACGGAGCACAGTCATTTTGGGGCCCTTCTGTGTTCACCGGCCGTCGCAGTGCGACTCCCATGTCCTGAGGGACACCACGCGATGTCTGGTATTACTGACACCAAGAAACTAAAGAGTTTCTTACCCCTTGAAAAAGTCCCTGAGATCGTTCCACTAAATGACTAAGAAGTCAAACATATCCAAAACTCAGCATCTCCTCCAGCTCCCTCTCATTTCACATGCCCTCTCTGTCAAATGGGTGTAAGCAAGTACAGAGAAGGAATCCTAAATTCATCTCCTGACAAGCCTGGTTCAAAATCAGATGGATCTCTCTTGCTCTGTCTTTTCCCTGCATGATTTTCTCTCTTTTCTCCTTGTTCCTTTCTTCTTCTGCTAATTATTTGACATTAATTAAACAAAGACCTAGGCTGGCCTTAGTATATAAATATAAACCTTGGTCACAAGCACCTTAGGTTGGAGTTCTCAGAGCCCTGCAACCTTAGCTATGAGTAAAATGAAACTTATTGGTAAGTTTGGGAGAAAAAAGAAATTATCCTTTACTGTCTAATCAACCTGTCTGTTCTGACTTCTCTTATATGATGCTCTGCAGAAGTAACTGGTTGTCCGAGTGTTTTTTTCTTCTTCCTTAGTCATATGATAACTGAGGCACTAAAACACAAATTTTTAATAAAACATGTTATTAATGCTGGTGTTCACTGATTTGGCTTAGGTCCTCGGTTAAACAATCTATTGTAAAATACTGTCTAGAGAACAAACAGCCAAGTCGGGGCTTGCTAAAGACAAGGAGATTTCTTAATTAATCTGATTAACCACCTTCTCCTTCAAGTTTTGGAATTGGTCATCAGTGTTACACTTACGTGAACTGACCTAAATTATTTCTACAAGTGTTGATTTTAAAGTAGAGCTTTTTTCTGGAGGCCCTGCTTGTGTCCTGGAGCCTTCCTTAATCAAATAATTGCCACTGCAACTGCTTTAATTTTTCTTATTTGTTCCTGTGTGAAATAGAAACAGCATTGTAGATGTGTGACAGCCCTCTTGCAGCTATATCTCTCCACTGACAGCGAGCTTTTGCCTTGCCTTTAAAGGGTATATTCATTGCCAGAGTGTTGCAGGTGGCAGAAAGGAGCAGCTTCCCCCAAAGCCATCTGCTGTGAGTCCCCAACATCACCCTTGCCCAGCACAATGGGAAAGCGTCAGAAGAGGCAGGGAGGGACTGGTGATATCTTCTGTGTACTGGTGAGCCACAAAGTGCTTCAGCTAATAAGTGTATGAAGAGAAAAAGAAAGCCTCTGAGCTGTGATGCAAAGCATGAATGTGACAAAGGAAATGGTGGCCTTGCATGGAAACCAGCTCAAACTGTGAGTAACAAGGACCAAGGTCTCCTCTATGCACAGGAGGGGAATCCCTGGGCGCCAGTTTAGTACCATGGATTGATTCATAGTAAAATTCATCATTTATCAGAGACAAGAAAGAAGTGAGATATCCCTACTGAGAAAGGAAGTAGCCCTTCCTGGAGGATCCTTTCATTGTACAAATTCTCCCAGCACATCCATCACCACACCTCCGAGGACATGCACTACATACTGTAGTGAAGAATCCATGCTCTACAGCAGAGTGAGAACCTAGTCTTGGCAAATTTTTGACCCATACTCATTTACCAACACATTCACTTCCATTTGAACCAAACTAAAAAACAGGGAATGAGGAATTTTCCTATTTTGGTCTCCAGAAGGTTGTGCTTTTGACAATGATTTTGAAATACAATTTTCTGCCACTGAGTTGTAATAGTGATGGAGAGGGGAGGACTCAAACAACAATCCCAATGGATGGCAGGAACCAGTTCACTTCAGCACCCAAGAAAGCATGAGACTCAACTCTAGTCAACTACAAGGCAGGCCCCTAGTTCAGTTCCTTGTTGACATTCCTCCATCAGCCTGTGAGGATGGGCACTTCCCAAGAACAGTTTATCCCATTATAAAGAGAGGATGAACTGTAGCTAGAATCAGGTAAATAAACTGCCCACTGAACCAGAATGAGCCTGTGCAAGTAGCATCACTTGATGTCTCATCCAGAGGTGGCTGGAGCACTAAAAGTTGTCATTTGGCTCAAGTCTGATGTTCATATTTGCTTGACAGGATTTTAAGATCCAGATCCTTGTAATGTTATTTAATGTATGAAACCTGTTCACCCTTTATTTTGTCAAAATCTACTATTTCAAGTAGACACCACAACTACCACAGCCTCATGAAAGTATGAATTTCACACATCTCAGCAGGCTAACAGCAGCTTTCTTCACTCAGCAGGCTTTGAAGCCCAGTGAAATAAACCCAGTTCCTAAACCATTGTCCATAGCTCAGCTCTGAGTAGCAGTCCCAACAGCAACATCATCAAAGTCAGCAGCACCTGTTGTCTGACAGACACAGGATTAAAAGGCTTTCTTTGCAAAGGGGTAACAGAAAAACCAAACCTCACACAAAAAAAACCCCAAGCAACAGGATAGCCTGGAAGAAAGAAATAAATCCAACACCAGCCCAGCCACTCGCAGTCTGGTGAAACTATTCTTACTGTATGTGCAAAGCTCCAGGAAGCATCACCCATCCCCATGTGCCAGTGGTCACCCAGAGGCAGCAGGAAGGGCCCTCTCTGTTGATGCATACAAGAGTTTTCTTGGCAGGGCGGAAGACCCTGTGGTTAGAGAAGAGAACCACAAGTTGTTAAAACAAAGAAAAAGCAAAGCATACCCCAGGGCGCTCTTGGTATGTTCAGCTGACAGACCACCTGCCTTGCTCAAAGTGGCTTTTGCTGAGCAATTGCAGAGATGAATTGACCAAAGAATTGCAAAGAGAACAATTAAACACCTGAAGAAACCATCTGTGTGCCAGCAACACGTGTGCTTGGAGATAAATGATATGTATATATATGCCATGAAACACCTGTGTCTCACTTGCTGGGTATGAGAATACTCTGGGCTCTGCCATCCACACGAGACCCTCTGAGTGTGCTTAAGGGAAGGATGCAGAATCCCTCACAAGAAAAACAACCTGAGGCCTTCAGCCTAAGCATGAGGCTTGTCCGTGACTTCTGTGGAGCTGGAGCTGTTGAGGACCCCCAGAGGGATGGGGGACAGCAGGCTGGAGCGCCTGATCCTACCTCAGGCATGAGCAGCAGCACTCTGGATCTCTAGGGAATTCATGGAGGCAAAAACCTTGAGTAAGAACAGAGAAGGATAAAAGAGCCCAAATTTCAACCTAGAATTTAATTTCTTCAGAAATCTTTTTTTGCGCTGCATTTTGCCGCAGATGCCGAGCACCGTCTCTTTGCCCAAGAGGGTCTTGATGACATCACATCCTCCCCAAAGTGAGATGCAGCCTCCAAAGTCAAGAGAGAACGATCATCTCAGCAGCACTGCACCGTCTCCAAGGACAGACACCCCCAGCAGAAGATGGACGGGTCTCCTGCCCTGCTCCTCCTGATCGCTCTGGGACTCTGTGAGTATGGACACAGGGTGGTGCAGCCCCTTTATCAGGAAGGGCATGGGCCCTTCTTCCACCAAATCCAATAAATTGGGCTAAACAGTTAAAAGGGGGGTGGGGGGTGGGAGTAAACCAAAAAAGCTGACTTTGAGATGTGGTCAGTAACTGTGGAGGGAAAGGCGGCATCCCCTCAGCCAGCAAAGGGCAGCCGGAGGGGTGGCTGCAGCAGCACGAGCACCAGGAAGGGAGCCTGGTCATACAAGTGGTTCTGGAGGGGAAGGAGAAAAGGGGAAAAAGGGGGCTTAGCAATCAGTGCTTTTAGAGATTCATTTCAGATAATCTGGGAAGGAGTAACGTCCCTGAGAAGGCAGCTGGAAGGGCAACACCCATCTTTCAAGCCTACATGGCTGATTACTGAGCACCCTCCATGCACAATCCCAGCAAGGATTCCAACTAAACCTTCCAGTCATCCAGACACCATGGTTCTCCCTTTACATTTGTATTTCCATCCCATGGACAGAGCAGGAGATTTTTCCCAGAGGGACCATTGGCTCTTCCCAAGCAGTTCCACAAGGATTTCTCTCCTCCAGGCTGTCCCAGAATCCATGGCCAGATGTATGAGATGAAGATCAGGTTTCGCAACAGAATCACCCAGCTCCGGGTGGGACAGCGGCTGGAACTGGAGTGTCAGACTGACAAGAAGGACAGTGGCATGTTCTGGGTCCACCAGGACAAGAGTGGGACCCTTCACTTCATTGTCTTCATCTCTTCCCTATCCAAGATCACCTTCAAGGGGAATCAGAGAACATCCACACGCTTCGAGGCCAGCAAAGACAACACCATCTATCGGTTGGTAGTGAAGTCTTTCACATGGCAGGATGAGGGGAATTATTTCTGCCTCATGAACATCAACCAAATGCTGTACTTCAGCCCTAGCCAGCCTGCCTTCTTCCCAGGTGAGCAACATTTCCACCCAACCTTGCTTAGCTCTGCCAGAAAGCCCTCCTGCCTGTGCCTTTTTTAAGCAGTCTTCTCTCCCACAAACCCCAAAACATCTTGTGACCAACCCACTGCTCCTGCTGAAGGTTCCCTGCTTGCCATCTCTCCTCATGGTATTGCTCCTGCCCAAAGGCAAAGATGATTGGGCAGACCCAGCATCACTTCCCCATCCCCACTTCTCCATCCTACACATGGCTCTGAAGAGATAACATCAAAGCAAAGTCCAGCACTACCCCTCCTTCCTCGCCTCACATAGGTCCCAAAACTCAGGGTGCTTATGAGGATGGTGGCAGACAGCAAGAAATAAGGAGGCTACAGCTCCTTACTGGCTCCTGGGAGACCCTCCTTGGAGGAGTCCCAATCTAAAATTGGATCTGTGAAGTCCCCATGGAGCTGAATACAGAAGCATCCATACCCTGGCAGGGGTAGGAGAGCAGAAGGGCAGGAGAGAGATTTTTTTATTGTATTTGCCTACATGCTGAATTCATCTGTTTTCACTCATAGTCACCACCACAGTGGCACCCACCACAACAAGACCCACCACCCAGCATGACATCACCGAAAAGGATCCCTTCCTGGAGACATCAGATCCAGGTAATCTGGATGGAGGGAGGGAGGGAGAGGGGAAGAGCTGGGCTCTGGTCCACTGATACTGAGGGGGATGGTGTAGGCATTTTGGGACAGGAAGAGACTGAAAATCCATGGAGCTTTATCAGAGTTGGGAGGATTAAACTCTAACGTTTCATCCCAGCTAGGAAAGGCTTAGGATAAGGTTAAGAGTATGAGCATGCCTGGGCATGCTGGGCTGAGGGGGTGGAAGGGAAGAGCCTTGGGGGCTAGGGCTGGTTTTACTCTCATCAGGAGACACAAGAAAACGTGTGGCTATGTGTCCTCCTTCAAGTGCCCAGGAAAATGCTGAGAGCAGCAGCACTGATGAAGAACATCACTGCAGGCCCAGGGGAAGCCCTCTGCCTCACCACCAGCCTTGTGGAATGCCAGGCAGGGCCCTTGGCACCTCCCTTGGCTCCAGCAGAACTGGCCTTAACACCAGCTGTGAGCACCTCATGAACCTTTCCTCTTCTCCATTCCTGCAGAGACCAGCACAGAGAATGAGCTGAATTTCTTCTGTGATCTTCTCATCTGGGTTCCCTTGGCAGGTGCCTGCCTCCTGCTCCTCATCGCCCTGGTCGTCACCATCACGCTCTGTCAACGTAAGACTCACCACCACCCCCTGTAGATGCTGCTGAGGGATTTTCAGCAATGTGCCAAAGTCCCTGGGGACAGCCAACAGAAATAATTCACCCTCAGGGTTCCCAGGCTGACCCTGCTACTGCTACTCACATTTTAATTCATCAAAATGTTTAAGTGCATTACTGTGGGAACATGAGCTGCAGCACCACTCCCTGGCATGGATTTTCTACAAAATAAGCCTGGTTTATCCATCATTAGTCTCAAAGATATCAGCTGCTGGGGAACATCAGCCCTACCTCACTGCAGTGTTTCTTTACTGAGCTGTGACTTGGTAGCTTTGAACTATAACACTTCCTTACTTATTTTCTTTCTTATTTTAGGAACCAGAAGACGAAGATGCAGGTGTAAAAGGTTAGTAAGTGACAGGCATTGGCAATTTTCTCTTAAATTTGGCAACATCTCAGTTTCAGGTGGTAGAGCAGGCAGGGGCCCAAAAGCAACCTAAAAATTCTTCACCTGATGGGAGGGGTCTGTGTAATGACTAAAAGGCAAAACGAAGACAGAAGTTCTCTTCTCCCATGGTTTTGTTTGGGGTTTTTGTTTGCTTTTTTTTTATTTTTATGTAATTCAAATCACGGAGCCCTGACACTGCAGTAGACACAAGCCAGAAAGACAGGACGGGCTTGTGGTAGCCCAAAAACTTTGCACATCACATAATGCTCATAACTAACCACATTTCTGTGCTCCCAATGCACCACTCCAAACTTGAGCCTGGGGGTGACTGTATTTCATTCCTTACCCTCCCCAAACCATTCATTTGATTTCATCACTGGACATTCAGGTGTGCCATGCAAGTTATTGCATCCCAAATCCCCCTCTGAACCATTTTGGACCAATATCACTACGGCTTCAAGCCTCCATTTCCCCTACAGGCACTAAGGAACAACAGCAGAGAGGCTGCTGCAAACTTGGATGACTTTCCTGAGAAACAGCACTGCAGACAGGAACAGACTTAAAAGTAACCCAGTTTCTATGCACTCAGGAACATTTTTTTCATGCTTTCCCTCCTGCCACCTCAACCCACCCATCATCCTGAGTCACAAGGAAAACTCCATCACAAGGAGAATTGCAATTTGCCAGTTTGGAAAAAGAAATGCTTTTGCCCACGTGCATTATCCTTCTGCAAAAAGACCTCCCTGCAGCAGGTTTCTTCACCTTCCCTGCTCTGCAGGAAACCACTTCTGCAGTTTTGCAAGCCTTGGGCACCCTGGAGCTTGTGGCCAGAGAGCCACCAAGAAATCATTGCTACTGCTCCGGGCAGCCAGTGCTGGGCTAGTGCTTGGAAAAGATGGGTAGCCAAGAAAGTTTTGGACAGTATGTTCACAGCTCTGGAGCCTCATTCTTTGCAAAGCAGAGCATCTTTTAAATCAGATAAATTCATGTTCTTTGTTATACATCCATGGGGCTTATGGTAAGAAAGGTAATCTTTTTTAAGACAGAAGGCATTTTTTTTACCTGTCTGAAAAAAGGGAACAGACTGTCATTGTTATGGCGGATATTTATTATAGCCAGTGCTCTTCTGATTCTTGTCTGCCTTTCCAAGGGAGAAATGATAACAAAGAGCTCTTCAGGCAGCCTTGCTTAGGACAATGTTTGCATTCTTCACTTATCTCAATCCCTGTTGCCAGGATGTTCAGTTCCTACAGAGAAAAAACACCTGCAGAGCTCTTCAGTTTTGTATAGATAGAGTGGTTGGGTTACAACAGAAGTCAGAGACAAATTTAAAAAGCCCCTTTTTCTTAATTAGTGTAAGAATTGATCATCAGTGTGTCTTAAGAAAGTCTTTCTGCTGGCTGTCACTACCTGAAATGTCGGCAGATCCTTCACTAGCATAGAGATGATTTCAGAACATTTTGCAGCCTCTTCTTGCAGGTCCCTGGCTGCAGACCAAGGCTAAACAAGATCATCAGCTCATCACACATTAATTGCCTTTCTCTTCCTTTCCCATCAAAGTAAATCAAGCCCTTTTCTCTCTCCAGGCCTGTGCAGGGGAAGCCCCACGCCAAACCAGGCACAAAAATCTGACACCTTGCAGCATCCACACCTTTGGACTTCTGGATCGTCTCCCGGGAGCTGTCAGCACACAAACCCATCTCCTACGTTCTCTACACTGTAACTGCACCTCATGCACTCTGCCCTGGCAAACTGGAAAAGACAAGATGGAGCACAGACACCCAGACAACAAGCAGCACTGTTTCTGGGAACTGCACCCTAAAGCACAGCTCCTTCAAGAACTGGAGCTTTTCAAATCGATTCCCAAGGCCGAACGCCCTCTCTGTTCCCAGTGACAGGGTTCAGGCAAAGGAACCAGGTCAATCCTGATGCTGACAGGCATCCGTGATAAAATGATGAGAAATAAGGATACAAGCTGGACCTTTGCTCCAGTGTGTGTTACTTCTTTCTAAAATGCAGCCAGGGCCTGACTTTGCTACCCAGTGACTTAGAAACAAATGCTCTCCACACATCCTCTGTTTGTGGTGCCATGTCTCTCCTAGGGTTTTTCCTGTTTCATCTACTGTAATACAAGGCTGCACTGAGAAAGTAAATATGGATTAAAGGACCTTATTTTTTAGGCTTTTACAGTCCTGGGGGCTAAGGTTTTCCCTCATGCTAACCCTCTTCTGCTGCTACCCCCACTTCTACAGATTTCAGCAGGAATTTGGACTGAGCAAGGAAGGTGGGATTTGCTTTCTTTCTGAAAGAAAAAAGAGATGTTTGTCACTTGTTTTGGTTAAGTGGGACATTTAAGATGTTGATTTTTTGGGGGGACATGTTGATTGACTATGGTTAAGTTCTGTTTTTTCCAATCTGTATTTGATGTAAATATTTCCTTGTTATACTTGCAAATCAAGAACTGAGACAGAAAATAAAATTATTCTAGTCAGATTCAATGAAGTGTATTTCTTGCTTTAGTTCCTAGCCTCAGAAATGCTAAAATCCTTCATGAAAATAAAAAATGAGAGTTTGAGAAAGTTTTGGATGAGGGAAAAACCAGTGATTTATACAACAGCCTAAGACTTAGGATGCCAGAGTTCAGCTTCCAGCTTACCATAGCCTAAAATCATCTCAAGGGATCTTCCCAGGGGTTTGCTGATGGGCTCAGAAACACTCCTCCATCCCAGGAAGGTGCTATGAAGGCGGATGAGATAAAGGTTCTCAGGGTACTCTGGTATTCTTGTCACGGGGCTGATAAAAACCTGGGAAAAGCAGAAGGAAAGGAACTCTTTGATAGTCTCCTCCTCTGCAAACAAGCTGGGAAGGAGGGAAATTGAGAGAGAAGTTCTTCCAAACTTACTTGAGTGTAATGTTTAATTAAAAAAAAATAAATTAGAGACTGGGTAAGTATATCTAAACAATAGCAGGCCGATACTGAATGAGAACTACAAGGATCTACACACACTATAAAGAAAAAAATCACAGAAAAGCCTCAACATGGAAATGTCTGTGAATTCACAGATAACATGAAGCACTAAGACACATTCAACCTATTAAGGGGGCCCCACTCAAACCCCAGGTGCTCAGCTAGGAAGTAGCAAGGGTCTACCATACAAACAGCTCATACCTTGTCACTCTCTCCTATGAGATCAATTTTATTATTGGGTTGTCCCAGAGCCTCTTACTGAATTAGTTTGAGCTCAAAGTTTTCATTTAAAAAGCCATAACTCAAAGTGTTTCTGCAAGACAGTTTCCAAGAGGTAGGAACATCCCTACCTCGCTGGTACCATAACCTACAGTTCTTTCCTTGCTGTTCTCAGTCACTTTATCCTGGTTTTTCACACAACACAAGAGCTTAGGTCTGCATCACACTACCTTCCTGTAACCCAGGCTGTCAGGCAATGCTCCTTCTGGTCTGGTACTGACTCCTACACAAAATCCTCTTCCAACAGATGAGGAACTGGAAGTAGAATATCTTGGGGTTTGAGGTTTTTTTGTTTGTTTCAGGGTGAGGGATTGGGGGGAGTTGTTTCTTATTATTTTTTCCAGTAGCCTTCATTTGCACTGGAAATCAACATCTGGAAAAGAATTAAGCTCTGGGATGGCTCCTGCCTCCCTCTACGTATCTTCACACTGATCCTCCAACCCACACTCTGCAGGGCACAGGTCACTCAGCACCCAAGGGTACATCCTGCTCAGCACAACCTTCAGGACTTACCATTCATCCATGTATCCCCAATCCAGACTAATACCAACCATTACAACACTGCCTCTGCCCCCACTATCTGCTGATTCAAGCTCTGGTGGTGCAGACAGACACCTTAATAAAAGAAACCAAAATTGAAATCTCATCTCTGAACATAACTGGAGCCTGCAATCACAAATCCATGAATCCAGACAGCTCCCAGCACTCTCAGCACTGCAAGGAAAGGACTGTCCCTGCAATTGCAATAGCACTGCCTGTATGGCACATTCCCTCTTCAGAGGGTGGCTTTCACTCTGAGGGCCTGGCTGTTTGTTGGGTATCAGCAAGTTATGAAAAATACAGGACCATTCACTGAACTCTGTCAGCACCTTTCATCTCCTTACTTGCTGAACAACAGCCAGGCATCACCTTCAATTCTTTATCATTGTTTCTGCCTTTGCAGAAACACACAGATTTTGGTGGTCTCTGATTTTGCTTCTTTAATCTGTCAATGACCAAAGGGATGTAACACCCAAACTGCAGATTCAGCCTGGCTGCAAACTCCATATAAAGTGTCAGTAGAAATATTATTCCTCCGTCCCACTGTAACACGTACCCTGAGTTAGCAGGAATCCTTAAAGGAATTCAATTTAAAAGCATTTCCAGCTCTCCACCTGTGGATTTTCTGAGAGATACTAAATGTCCATGGACTGCTGTGCATCCTAAGATACTCAGGGGTAAAACTTGCCCATTTGTATCTTCTTACATGAGCTTTTCTATTTCTGAACCCCTGCAATTTAAGTAGGTGTTAGAAATACACCCAATACACTGCACTGAACTGCTGTGATTCTGCCTTTGCTTCACAACCGGCACAACCACCCCTGCAGAAGGTCAGAAGGCTGAGGGAACCAGAACAGGCAGCTTGGGGCATGCACCAAAATAAACATTTATTTTTTTAAGTCACTGCCCTGAGATCCACGTTGCCCCAGAATGCCTCAGAATGCCCCAAAAATGAGCAACACCTCATGGGCAGACACATCCAAGAGACGTTTGCTCGAAACCACCACACCAACTCCACCAAGAAACCCTCCAGCAGAGGCACTGACCCAGCACAGCTCCACAAAGCAACACTGACTTGCCCTCACCAGCTCTTTCTTCCACACCATTCCATGATTGGTTCATCTTCCAGTTCATGTCAGCTGCAGCCAGCTCTGCACCTCGGATTTACACCTAAGGCTCAAGGGGGCCTGTTAAGTTTTCCATTTACGAGTAGAGAACCAGACAGAGGTGATACAAGTAGCATCACTTGATGTCTCATCCGGAGATGGCTGGAGCACTAACAGGTGACATTGAGCTCAAGTCTGATGTTCACATTTCCTCGACGGGATTTTGAGATCCAGATCCTTGTAATGTTGTTTAACTGATCAAAAGTATTTTCTCTTTGTTTTGTCAAAACCTGCTCTATTTAATGTACACATCACAACTACCACAGCCTCATGAAAGTGTGAACTTCACACTCCCCAGCAGCCTGACAGTACCTTTCCTCACTCATCCACATGCTTTGATGCCCAATCCAGCACACCCAGTTCCAAAACCATTTTCCATAACTTCAGCTCTGAGTACCAGCCCCAATTGCAAATGACATCGAAGCCAACAGCACCTGCTTTCTGACAGACCAAGGAAAATAACGGAGCTTCTTTTCCAAAGGACTCATAAAAAACAAACCACACACAAAAACAATTATCAGGAAAGCAAGGAAGAAAGGAAGTACATCAAATACCAGCCCAGCCCCTCACAGTCTGATGAAACTGTTGTTACTGTACGTGCAGAGCTCCAGGAAGCATCACCCATCCCCATGTGCAAATGGTCACCCAGAGGCAGCACCAGGGTCCTCTCAGGGGAAGCAGACAACAGGTTTTTGGGCAGGGCGGAAGCCCCTGTGGTTACAGGGGAGAAACACAAGTTGTTAAAAGAAAATTAAAAGGAAATCATACCCTTGGGCATTGAGCACTCTCAGTGTGCTCAGCTGACTGACCACCTGCCTTGCACAAAGCAGCTCTTCAGACCAAATGCAAAGAAGAATTGACCAAAAAGGAATTGCAAAGAGAACAATCGAGCACCTGAAGAACCCGGCTGTGTGTCAGGAATGAGTGTACTCTGAGATAAATGATACACATGGATCTATGCCATGAAACATCTGTGACTCGCCGGGTAAGAAAATGCTCTGGGCTCTGCCATCCACACGAGACATGAGTGTGTTCAAGAGAAGGAGGCAGAATCCCTGGCAAGAAATCCAACCGGAGACCTTCAGCCAAAGCACGAGGCTTGTCCGTGACTTCTGTGGAGCTGGAGTTGCTGTGGACCCCCAGAGGGATGGGGGACAGCAGGCTGGGGTGGCTGATCCTACCTCAGGCATGAGTAGCAGCACTCTGGGTCTCTAGGGAAGATATCAAAGCAAAATCCTTGAGGCACCATCAGGAAAAATGAACCAAACTGCACACTAGAACTGAATTTCTTCAGGATTTTTTTTCCTCTGCATTTTGCCGCAGATGCCGAGCACCGTCTCTTTGCCCAAGAGGGTCTTGATGACATCACATCCTCCTCAAAGTGTGACCCAGCCTCCCAAGTTGAGATAAAAACATCGTCTCAGCTGCACTGCACCGTCTCCAAGGACAGACACCCCCAGCAGAAGATGGACGGGTCTCCTGCCCTGCTCCTCCTGCTCGCTCTGGGACTCTGTGAGTATGGACACAGGCTGGTGCAGCCCCATCACCCAGAGGGACAAGGAAAAACCTTCCACTGAATACAAGAAATTGGGTTAAATAGTCAAAGCGTGGGAAATAGTAAATAAAAAGGTCGACTTTGAGATGTGCTCAGTAACTGTGGAGGGAAAGGCGGCATCACCTCAGCCAGCACAGGGCAGCCAGAGGGGTGGCTGCAGCACCACAAGCACCAGGAAGGGAGCCTGGTCAGACAACTGGTTATGGAGGGGAGGGAGAAGGGGGGAATAAAGAGGGTTTAGCAGTCAGTGCTTTAGGGAGTCCCTTCAGAAGGGACTAATCTGGGAAGGAGTAACATCCCTGAGGAGGCAGCTGGAAGGGCAACACCCATCTGTAAAACCCACATGGCTGATTGATGAGCACCCTCCATGCATGATCCCAGCAAGGATTCCAACAAAACCTTCCAGTCATCCAGACACCATGGTCCTCCTTTGCATTTGACCTCACAGTCTGAGAACAGGAAACCAGGTTTGCTCAGAAGGGCCATTGGCTCTTCCCAAGCAGTTCCAGCAAGGATTTCTCTCCTCCAGGCTGCCCCGGGACCCATGGCCAGATGTATGAGATGAAGGTCAAGTTTCGTGACACCATCACCCAGCTCCGGGTGGGACAGCGGCTGGAACTGGAGTGTCAGACTGACAGGGATTATGGAGTGTTCTGGGTCCGTCAGGACAAGAATGGGACCCTTCACTTCATTGTCTTCATCTCTTTCCTGTCCCGAGTCACCTTCAAGGGGAATCAGAGAACATCCACACGCTTCGAGGCCAGCAAAGACAACACTATCTATCGGTTGGTAGTGAAGTCTTTCACAGAGGAGGATGAGGGGAACTATTTCTGCCTCACGAACATCAACCAAAGGCTGTACATCAGCCCTGGCCTGCCTGCCTTCTTCCCAGGTCAGCAAACAACACCTACACCTAACCTCTTTAAGCTCTGCCAAAATCCCCAGCACCTCCTGCCTGTACCTTTTTTACCCAGTTGTCTCTCCCACAAACCCCATTTCCCTGCTTGCTTCCCCAAGGCCTCTTGGGACCAACCCGCTGGTCCTCCTGCCAGAAGCTCCCTGCTTGCAATCTCTCCTCATGGTATTGCTCCTGCCCAAAGGCAAAGATGATTAGGCAGACCCAGCATCATTTCCCCATCCCCACTTTTCAATCCCATCCATGGCTCTGAAGGGAGAAGAGTAAAGCAAAGTCCAGCACTACCCTCTCCTTCCTCACCTCACATAGGTCCTAAAACTCAGTGTTCAGTCTTTCTGAGGATGGTGGCAGACAGCAAGACATAAGAAGCCTACAGCTCCTCACTGGCTCTTGGGATACCCTCCCTGAGGGAATCCCCATCCAAAAGGGTCTCTATGAAGCCCTAATATGTGTACAGGAAAAACTATAACCTGGGCAGGGGTGGGAGAACTGAAGGGCAGGAGGGACCTGTTTTACTGCATTTCCCTACTTGCTGAATTCATTCATTTTCACTTTTAGTCATCACCACACCGGGACCCACCACTCAACGTGGTATCACTGGAAAGGACTCCGACGTCAGGACCCCGGATCCAGGTAGCCTGGGTGCAGGGAGGGAGAGGGGAGGAGCTGGGTTCTGGCCCACTGATACCACTGAAACCTGCAGGCATTTTGGGGTGGGAGGACAGTGAAAATCCACAGAGCTTTATCATAGTTGGAAGGATTAAACTCCAGTGTTTCATCCCACACAGAAAAGACTTAGGATGAGGTAAAAAGCAGGAGCATGTCTCATGCCTGGGCATGCCCAGAAGAGGGGGAGGGAGGGCAGAGCCTTGGGGGCTGAGGGTGGTTTTAGCCTCATCAGGGGAAAGAGAAAATTTCTGGCTACGTGTCCTCCCTCAAGTCTCTGGAAAATGGTGAGAGGGGCAGCCCAGAGGAAGCCCCCTGCCTCACCACCAGCCTCATGGAATGCCAGGCATGGCCCTTGGCAGCTCCCTTGGCTCCACCAGAACTGGCCCGGACACCAGCCCTGAGCACCGGCTGGACCTTTCCCCTTCTCCATTCCTGCTCAAAGGTTGGACTCAATGATCTTGGAGGTCTTTTAAAAACTTAATGTTTCTGTGCTTTTTTGACCTTTACCCTTCTCTATTCCTTCAGAGTCCAGCACGGAGAAGGACCTGAATTCCTTCTGTGATGGTGTCATCTGGGTTCCCTTGGCAGGTGCCTGCCTCCTGCTCCTCATCGCCCTGGCCATCACCATCCTGCAGTGCCCAAGTAAGACTCACCACAATCCCTATAGATGCACTTCCAGCCTCAAACCATAGCCCTGTCCCTCAGAGGGATGGATGTTCTGCCTGCTTTGTGAGGTATGAGATAACCAGGACACAGTCAGTGCAAGAGAAGGACTACTGTTAGAATCACTGTCTGTATTTTCCTCATCAGTAGGCTTAGGCTGAAAAATAATTAACAACTTAGAATCATAGAATCAGAAATGTGTTTAGGTTGAAAAAGACCTTCAAGGAAGAAAAATTGATTAGAAACAGACAGAACTTACTGTATTAACTGTCTTGGCTCTACTATCTTTAAATTGGTGTGTCAGAGAGTAATGTACCAGGGCCTGAAACATTCTGACACATCAGGGTAAATATGCTCCAGCATATGCTGAGACTCCCAGTAGCAGCTTGAGCTGTAACTAAAAAAGTAACTTCATTACACAGGTTCAGAGACTGCCATAGTTTAAGCAGGAATGCAGGTCAGCAAAAGTCCTTTGGTGAAATTTCGTGTTTGAAATGAAGTTGAACTACCCTGAGCAAGCAATGAGTGCAAATGGATTTAACTCAGTTTAGCTCACTGAAATCAGTTCAACTCTCCAGTACCCCCAGAAGTTATGACTTCATTAATCCAGCTCTGCTCATTTGCCTGAACACCAGCAGTTCTGCTGCTGAATTAACCTAACTAGATCCTCCCTGACCCTGCGGCCTGGAGCTGATGCCAGATGAATTCACCAGCTGACCCAGCTAGGAAAGTACCATTTGTCATCATCCTTCAGCCCTGAAAAATACTAATCTCCACACTCTGCAGAGATAGGAAGGAATGCATGAAAAAGCATTAAGGAGACACAGCCAAAAATCATTCTCCTCGGGGGAAGTAGCTGATGATGCAGCAGAGTGCCTGGACTTGGTCCAAATTCCCTCTGAAGTCATCAGGAGCCAAAAGCCCTCCACATACAGTGACATTCCCTGGTGACCTGCAACACACTTAACCTACAAACACCCCTCAGTGACTTATTTCTGCCTTTTAACACTGATGTAAAATGATCAGTGAAAAGCCATCAGCTGCAGTTAATTTCTGCAGCAGCCTAAGATCTCAAGAACAGATTAATACCTTGGGCTAAAATTAATGGCAGAACACTGTATTTTGCTGAACACATCCCAAAGTAACAACAGAGATGCTAAAATGGGGAAGAGCATCATTCAACTTGGTTGCATGTGGAGTGGCACCATTGCCTCTCACCTCTTGTAGAAACAATTGCTGCTGAGGGATTTTCAGCAACATGCCAAAGTCCAGAGAAATAATTCACCCTCTGGATTCCTAGGCTGACCCTGCTACTGCTACTCACCTCACATTTTAATTCATCAAAATGTTTAAGTGGAATATTGAGGTAACATGAGCTGCAGCACCACTCCCTGGCAGGGATTTGCTTAAAAATAAACCAGATTTATCCGTGGTTAATTTTAAAGATATCAGCCGCTGGGGAACACCAGACCCACCTTGCTGCAGTGTTTCTTTACTGAGCTGTGACTTGGTACCTTTGAACTAAAACATTTTCTTTCTTATTTTAGAAACCAGAAGACGAAGGTGCAGGTGTAAAAGGTTAGTAAGTGACAGGCATTGGCAATTTTCTCTTAAACTTGGCACCCTCAGGCAACAAAGCAGGAAGGTGCCTAAAAGCAACCTAAAAATTCTTCATCCAACAGCCGGTGGATAGGAGGGGTCTGTGAAATTACTTAAGGGTAAAAATGAGACAGAAGATTCTCTTGTCCTGTGTTTTTGGATTTGTTTGCAGTTTTTCTTTGGGGGTTTTTTATGATTAATTAATTCAAATCACTGGGCCCTGACACACCAGTAGATATAAAACATAAAGACAGGTGGTGCTTGTGGCAGACCAAAAAAATCACCACGGCTTCAGGCCTCCATTTCCCCTACAGGCACTAAGGAACAACAGCAGAGAGGCTGCTGCAAACTTGGATGACTTTCCTGAGAAACAGCACTGCAGACAGGAATAGATTTAGAGGCAACCCAGTTTCTAGGGCACTAGAAAGATCTAGAGATCTTTCTTTTATGCTTTCCCTCCTGCCACCTCAACCCACCCATCATCCTGAGTCACAAGGAAAACTCCATCACAAGGAGAATTGCAATTTGCCAGTTTGGAAAAAGAAATGCTTTTGCCCACGTGCATTACCCTTCTGCAAAAAGACCTCCCTGCAGCAGGTTTCTTCACCTTCCCTGTTCTGCAGGAAACCACTTCTGCAGTTTTGCAAGCCTTGGGCATCCTGGGGCTTGTGGCCAGAGAGCCACCAAGAAATCATTGCTACTGCTCCAGGCAGCCAGTGCTGGGCTAGTGCTTGGAAAAGATGGGTAGCCAAGAAAGTCTTGGACAGCATGTTCACAGCTCTGGAGCCTCATTCTTTGCAAAGCAGAGCATCTTTTAAATCAGATAAATTCATGTTCTTTGTTATACAGCCATGGGGCTTATAGTAAGAAAGGTAATTGTCTTTCAGTTGTCTAAATTAATACAATCTCTCACAGAAAGACCACCCTCCCCTACAGCAGTAGATCTCTACAATTTTATTTTTTTTTTAAGATAAAATGCAATTTTTTTACCCATCTGAAAAAGGGAACAGTCTGTCAGTTTTACAATGGATATTTATTATAGCCAGTACTCTTCTGATCCTTGTCTGCCTTTCCGAGGGAGAAATGATAATGAAAAGCTCTCCATGCTGCCTTGTTTAGGATGATGTTTGCATTCTTCACTTATCTCAACCCCTGTTGCCAGCCCTGGACAGGGATGTTCTGTCCCTACAGAGAAAAAATATCTGCCCAGCTCTTCAGTTTTGCACCAAAGGAGCGGTTGGGTTACAAGGACCTCAGGAAATCACATCCTCAAGGACAGCTTTCCTTCAGCTGCAATAACATGACATGGTTTAAGAAATTGTAGCATATTTCAGTTTTTATTTAGAGAGGAAATTTCTGCTGCTCTGAGCAACTCCCAATTATTGAAATGAAGCTCTTTAGAAGTTAATAGTGCAATTCACAGCATGAAAGAGCACCTAAGGATCTGGCCTGGGATTCTTGCTGGCAGCAGAATGATTCATTTTCCACCACAGATTAATCTTCAGTAAAGAAGGGTGCCAAATCTCCAATTTGTTAGATCAGCATAAAACTCTCAGGTCCTGGAGACCAGTAATTTCTATCATTTTGGGTGCACTCTGCCTGTCTAGAAAGCCTCCTTTCAAACTCCTCTGCAGGAGACAGGTTGCAATAAGAAAAAGTCTCTAGGAATTGATAACAGCTTGTCCAACTCCAAAAAAAACCCCAAGGTATTCTTTATTTATTCATTTCTGAATGTGGAGAAAGGCTTGATGGGAGGACAGGAGTGAGCAGAAGTCAGAGGTAAATTGAACCCTCTCCCTTTTTTTAAATTAGTGTAAGAACTCATCATCAGTGTATCTTAAAAACATCCTTCTGCTGGCTGTCACTACCTGAAATGTTGGCAGATCCTTCACTAGCACAGAGATGATTTCAGAACATTTTGCAGCCTCCTCTTGCAGGTCCCTGGCTGCAGACCAAGGCTAAACAAGATCATCAGCTCATCACACATTAATTGCCTTTCTCTTCCTTTCCCATCAAAGTAAATCAAACCCTTTTCTCTCTCCAGGCCTGTGCAGGGGAAGCCCCACGCCAAACCAGGCACAAAAAACTGACACCTTGCAGCATCCACACCTTTGGACTTCTGGATCGTCTCCCGGGAGCTGTCAGCACACAAACCCATCTCCTACGTTCTCTACACTGTGACTGCACCTCATGCACTCTGCCCTGGCAAACTGGAAAAGACAAGATGGAGCACAGACACCCAGACAACAAGCAGCACTGTTTCTGGGAACTGCACTCTAAAGCACAGCTCCTTCAAGAACTGGAGCTTTTCAAATCGATTCCCAAGGCCGAACGCCCTCTCTGTTCCCAGTGACAGGGTTCAGGCAAAGGAATCAGGTCAATCCTGATGATGGCAGGCATCAGTGACAAGCAGATGAGGAATAAGGAATAAATCTCTACTCAAGGGTGTGTGCTACTTCTTTCTAAAATGCAGCCAGGCTTTGAATTCACTACAAAGTGACTTGGAAATAAATGCTCTCACTTAACACATCCTCTGTCTGTGGTGCCACCTCTCTCCTAGGATTTGTACTGTTTCATCTAACCTATTACAAGGCTGCACCGAGAAAGTAAATATGGATTAAAGGGCCTTACTTCTTGTCTTTTTACAGTTCTGTGGGTAATGTTTTCTTTTCCTCATGCTATTCCTCTTCTGCTCTTATCCCCAATTCCACCGATTTCAGCAGGAGTTTGGCCCAAGCAAGGAAGGTGGGATTTGTTTGTTTCTAAAAGAAATGGATGAGGGGTAACAAAAATAGTCTCTGTCGATTATTTTGGTTAACAATAAAGGGACTTTTAACATGTTGGTTATTTAGGGATATGTTGGTTGACTGCAGTAAATTCTGTTTAATCAGATCTGCAAGCTCCAGGAAGCATCACCCATCCCCATGTGCAAATGGTCACCCAGAGGCAGCACCAGGGCCCTCTCTGGTGAAGTAGACAAGGGGTTTTGGGGCAGGGCGGAAGCCCCTGTGGTTACAGGGGAGAAACACAAGTTGTTAAAAAAAAATTAAAAGGAAATCATACCCTTGGGCATTGAGCACTCTCAGTGTGCTCAGTTGACTGACCACCTGCCTTGCACAAAGCAGCTCTTCAGGCCAAATGCAAAGAAGAATTGACCAAAAAGGAATTGCAAAGAGAACAATTGAGCACCTGAAGAACCCGGCTGTGTGTCAGGAATGAGTGTACTCTGAGATAAATGATACACATGGATCTATGCCATGAAACATCTGTGACTCGCCGGGTAAGAAAATGCTCTGGGCTCTGCCATCCACATGAGACCCTTTGAGTGTGCTCATGAGAAGGAGGCAGAATCCCTGGCAAGAAATCCAACCGGAGACCTTCAGCCAAAGCACGAGGCTTGTCTGTGACTTCTGTGGAGCTGGAACTGCTGTGGACCCCCAGAGGGATGGGGGACAGCAGGCTGGGGTGTCTGATCCTACCTCAGACATGAGTAGCAGCACTCTGGGTCTCTAGGGAAGACATCAAAGCAAAATCCTTGAGGCACCATTTAGAAATGATCAGGAAAAATGAGCCAAACTGCACACTAGAACTGAATTTCTTCAGGATTTTTTTCCTCTGCATTTTGCCGCAGATGCCGAGCATCACTTCTCTACCCAAGAGGGTCCCAATGACATCACATCCTCCCCAAAGTGTGACCCAGCCTCCCAAGTTGAGATAGAAACATCGTCTCAGCTGCACTGCACCGTCTCCAAGGACAGACACCCCCAGCAGAAGATGGACGGGTCTCCTGCCCTGCTCCTCCTGCTTGCTCTGGGACTCTGTGAGTATGGACACAGGCTGGTGCAGCCCCATCACCCAGAGGGACAAGGAAAAACCTTCCACTGAATACAAGAAATTGGGTTAAATAGTCAAAGTGTGGGAAATAGCAAATAAAAAGGTCTGACTTTGAGATGTGCTCAGTAACTGTGGAGGGAAAGGCAGCATCGCCTCAGCTGGCACAGGGCAGCCAGAGGGGTGGCTGCAGCACCACAGGCACCAGGAAGGGAGCCTGGTCAGACAACTGGTTATGGAGGGGAGGGAGAAGGGGGCAATAAAGAGGGTTTAGCAGTCAGTGCTTTAGGGAGTCACTTCAGATAAGCTGGGAAGGGGTAATGTCCCTGAGAAGGCAGCTGGAAGGGCAGCACCCATCTGTAAAGCTCACATGGCTGATTGCTGAGCACCCTCCATGCACGATCCCAGCAAGGATTCCAACAAAACCTTCCAGTCATCCAGACACCATGGTCCTCCTTTGCATTTGACCTCACAGTCTGAGAACAGGAAACCAGGTTTGCTCAGAAGGGCCATTGGCTCTTCCTAAGCAGTTCCAGCAAGGATTTCTCTCCTCCAGGCTACCCAGGGATCCATGGCCAGATGTATGAGATGAAGGTCAGGTTTCGTGACACCATCACCCAGCTCCGGGTGGGACAGCGGCTGGAACTGGAGTGTCAGACTGACAGGGATTATGGAGTGTTCTGGGTCCGTCAGGACAAGAATGGGACCCTTCACTTCATTGTCTTCATCTCTTTCCTGTCCCGAGTCACCTTCAAGGGGAATCAGAGAACACCCACACGCTTTGAGGCCAGCAAAGACAACACTATCTATTGGTTGGTAGTGAAGTCTTTCACACAGGAGGATGAGGGGAACTATTTCTGCCTCACAAACATCAACCAAAGGCTGTACATCAGCCCTGGTCTGCCTGCCTTCTTCCCAGGACAGCAAACAACACCTACACCTAACCTCTTTAAGCTCTGCCAAAATCCCCAGCACCTCCTGCCTGTGCCTTTTTTACCCAGTTGTCTCTCCCACAAACTCCATTTCCCTACTTGCTTCCCCAAGGCCTCTTGGGACCAACCCACTGGTCCTCCTGCCAGAGGCTTACTTCTTGCTGTCTCTCCCCATGGTATTGCTCCTGCCCAAAGGCAAAGATGACTGGGGAGACCCATCCTCACTTCTCCATCCCATCCATGGCTCTGACAGGAGAAGATGAAAGCAAAGTCCACCACTACCCCATCCTTTCCCCTAAACATTGCTCCCAGAAGCCCTAGCAACATCAGGGTGCTCAGGCTTTCTGAGGAGGGTGGCAGACAGAAAGAAATAAGGACTCTGCCATTCCTTACTGGCTCTTGGGAGACCCTCCTTGGGGGAGTCACCATCCAAAAGGGGCTCTATGAATTCCACATGGATCTGAGTTCTCTGCTGTGAACAGGAGCAGACAAACCCTGGCAAGGCTGGGAGAGCAGAAAGGGCAGGAGAGATCTGTTTCACTGTATTTGCTTACATGTTGAATTTTCATTTACAGTCATTACCACACCAGGACTCCTCACCCAGCACAGCATCACTGAAAAGGACCCCT